GGATTGACATGTAAAACAAGCTTGTTTCTAATTTAAATTAAAAAATCACCATAAAAATTTCAGCAAATAAAACATTTCAGTGCTTTCATTAAAAAAGTTTAAAACTGCTGCTTTAAAAAAGATTCTTCAGGCCTGGAGAGATGGCTCAGCTGTTAAGAGCACTTGCTGCTCTTCCAGAGAACTCAGGTTCTGTTCCCAGCATTCATAGGGTGGCTTACAATCACCTATAGCTTCAATTCCAGGAGCTATGATTCTCTCATCTGGCTTGCACATGGTACACAGGCATACATGAAGGCAACACATCCGTTCACATAAAAATAAAGAAAAGAAATATCTCAAATTACATGTTTATTAGTGATGATATTTCAAGTGACTGTCCCGCACAAACAGTTAAAGCAAAGAGGACATGGGGCTGCTTGATTTCAGATGTATTTTCAGTCTCTAGGGCACTGGCTGGCATGTAGGATACCCTGGAGTGTGTGAAGGAATGGATACACACAAGGGTCACAGGGAAGCAAATGGGCCTTGGTGACCTGAGCTGACTGCTGGCTCTGCTGCCTTCTCTGGCACACAGAGTACCACCTGCACTCCCCTTACAAGTAGCCATTTCTCTTGAGAGAAGGTATGCATTGCTGTAGTGCCACCTGACAATATCCACATGTTTTCACTACAACCTTCTTGGGGACAGGAATCAACAGGAGGCAAGGATCAAGTGTGTGGTGGCCTCATGTCTCCCAGTGTTCTCACCAGTAATAGATTAAGGTGTAATTAGGTCCTGCTTCAGCCACTCAGCTGTGAGCCCCAAAAGTAGGAAGATGTGAGCTCAGCTTTGGCCTCAATCACTTAGCATAGATCCTGGACATGGCACTTAACACAGGAAGTCATGCAGGTAATAACACTGCTAACAGCAATGACAACTTCTAGACACCAGTGCTAGCCACCTGCCAGTTACAATGTTATGTACTTTCCATAATTCTTTCATGACATCTCAACCAATACCCACTGTGGTGGTTTGAATGCCCCCCATAGGCTCATATATTTGAATGCTTGGTCCCCAGTTGGTAGAACTGTTTGGGAAGGGTTAGGAGGTGTGGCCTTGTTGGAGGGAGGTATGTCACTGGTGGACTTAGAGGTTTCAAAAGCCCATACCATTTGCAATCAGTTCTCTGTCTTGTGCTTGTGGATCAAGATATGATCCTGCCTGACTGCTGCCATGCTCCCTGTCATGAAGGTCATGGATTCTAGTCTTCAGCAACTGTGAGTCCTAAATTAAATGCTTTAGTTTTATAAGTTGCATTGGTTATGTTTTGTCAAAGCAATAGAAACATGACTAAGACACTCATTGAGACACACTGCACCCACTATCTACCGCCCCATTTCTCAGAGCAGGAAGCTAAGACTGGCTGGTAGTTTGCCAGTTAGCATTCCTGAGATTCGTCTCAAGGGGCACTTGATGTGCATTGTGTTGGATACTGGGAATCACCCCTTACTCACTGTAACCATGGGAGAGACAGACTTTCAATGAACCTATCTCCATCACACCTGGCCCCGATGCTCCTTCCAGGTCACCTGTGGCTGGTCTCCAGGCTTTGGTCCTCCTCTCTGACCTGTTCTTGTCCTATGACAAAATAGGTTCTTCCAGCTTCCAACACTGTTTCGCTCCTCTGTGCCTTGACACAGGCTGGTCCCTCAACCTCAGTTCCTTTCCCAGTCTTTATCCAACAGAACAAGCCCTCTGTGTCACCTTCTTCAGGAACCCATCCAAAACTGTCCATCAAGTGGCCATCCCCTCACAACCCCCGGAGCTGTTGCTTCTCCCTGTGCCTCTGACTGTGGTCGCCATGTAACAATACTCACACGTCTCTGCTCCCCAGGCCTGAGCACTAGGGACCAGTGCTCCCCTCAGACCCTCATACTCCTAAAAACTTGCTGAGGGAGTGTCTCCTTTCCATTCTACCTCAGCTGGAGCACTTCGGACTACTATTTTGATACATCTTACATAGGCTTCTTCCAACCAATGGAGAACCTCATCTTCTCTTTAAGTGAATGAACATTCAGTTCTGGGCATACATCTCTTCTAGAGAAATCTTAGTGTATAGCCTTCTGGGACTTTACTCATCAGCCTGCTCTGGAAGCCATGCTTGGAGCATTCTGGGAACTTGTTATCAGGCCTTGGAAGCAACAGCTCAAATGAGTGAAAACAGCAAACAATCCCTGGCTTTGGGAGTTGAGAGCTTTGGGACCTGTGTGGGTGAGCTTTAATAAAAGCCCTCCCCCACAACCCCAGAATCTGTGGCTGCTGCTGTGCACCCCATAGCCCCTGAAAAAAACAGCCATTTGGAGATTACCTTCCAAAGACCATGAACTTCTCTTTAGTGCATTTGTTCATTAATTCAGGCCCAAGGCTTCTCTAATTAGGACAGCAGAAGCCCTGAATCTTACATACAGCAGTGACAATAAACTGACTCTTTTCTGAGAAAGAACAGCATTTTGGTAGAACCCAGTGATCAAAAGCAGCTTGGTAGAGAAACGGGAGCATGGGTTTCAGATCCAAAAGGCTTCAAATTCCAGCTCCCTCTCTAAGAACACATGGCGGCAACAATACACCAAATAACGATAAGAACAGCATGTGGTGATTTCTGTAGAGAAAGAGTCAGAGAGAAACCCCAAAGCACGGAGTGAGGGACCCAGACAGACACTATGTATGTCTGGACGCCCAACCCCTGGCTGAGAACAGTGGAGGAGGTGGCTGCAGTTTGTCTCAGTATAGCAGAGACAAAGGAAGTAGGAGCCCCCTTCTAGGAAAATGCCTTAAGGAAAACTATTAATGACTTTTCTCCCTGGGACAAGGTGCCTGACAGAGGCTGCCTAGAGAGGCAGGGTTCAGATTAGCTCAGTCATCTTGAGGAAGGCATGGCTGTATCCTGGTGGCAAGAGCTGGTGCATCTATGGCAGAAGGAGGGAGGGGCAGCTTGCTAACATCTCTGTGGATCAGAAATCAGAAACCAGCTGGGCTCTGACTGCCATGGCTGCTCCCAAAGTGACCCACTCCTCCAGATAGACCCCAACTTTGCAGAATTCTAAAGCCTCTCAAAACAGGGCTACTCGCTGGGGACCAAGTGTTTGAGCCTGTGGGAGACAGTTCACATTCACCCCGAAAGAACTAAAGGGAGAGATACAATGGAGCATGATAGAGAGGTGTGGACAGAGGAAGAGAGGGAGGACAAGGTCCAAGTAGAGATGGGTGAGGTCAGCACCATGCACTCACAACAAGCATCATGTCTTAGCTCTGCCTGCCATCTCCCTCCTTGCCTCCCTTTCCTTGTTTTCTTCTCATTTTCCTTCTCTTTGTTCTGGGGCTCGAACCCAGAACCTCAAGCATACTAAGCACACTGAGTGCAATAGCTCCTGCACAGGTTCTAGCAGGCCTCACACAGAGAGGCAAGGTGAGTCTGTGAAGTGAGAGAAGCTCTCCTGAGTCACGTCATCCTCTAGTAGTTCAAGAGAACATGTTTCACTTAAAAGAGTGTAACAGAAAAGTATAAGGTCATTCTTCAAACAATTATTATAAATAAAAACAGTGTGAACAGACTGAGGCCCTTCCCATAAAGGCACACATAAAGACCTGCCAAGGGAAACCTGACCGCCTAGAGCAGGTGAGAGACTCTGCAGCAGGCTGGGCCATTTCATTAACATTCCACAGTAAATCAGGCCTCTGAGTTCCCATCCCAGGCCACCGCTTTCATTGGGTTGGTCATGTGACTTGCTTTGCTCAAGGAAGTTTGGGAAATGAGATGCAAGCCAGTGGTGCCACCCTATGCCATCTTGAAATACTGCCACCAGGAGAAGCTCGCCAAGCCCCTTGATACCTTGATGTGTGGAGGTCACACACAGAGGGCCATCATCTTTATCCTGGTGACTCCTCTGATGAATGTCCCTAGTGAGTATGGGAAGCCCAGACTGGCAGAGGAGTCACCCAGGCTACCAACAGAGCTTCTGGGAGCAGTGCACAGCTACTGTTGTAAGGGGTTAAGTTCTCACGTGGTTTATATTGCAGTGGCTGAGGCTAATACCAACATTCAGAATTAATAACTGCTGAAGTCATTAAGAAGGCCAAACAAGCCACAAAAGAATAACACAAATGACAATAAAATACTCCAGAAACCAGGCAAGAGAAGCCAGGGGAAAGTAGAAATGAAGAGAGAAGCATTTCCGAGATAAAGCCCGCACTAGAAGGCAAAAAAACAAAAAACAAAAAACAAAAAAAAAAAAACAAAAAAACCCAAAAACAAAACAACAAAAAAACTGCAGGCAGGGTCTTAAAGCAGATAGAACAAAACACTCTTATAGAAAGTCAGGACTGGGTAGAGAGACAGCTCATCAGGTAAAGACCTTTGGTACCAGATCTGATGACTCAAGTTCAATTTGTAGAACTTGCAGAGCGGAAAGAACAAACTGACTGGAAAGTTGTTCTCTCATCTCTACACACAGGCTATGGTAAGTACCCATGAGCATGCACAAATGTGCATGCCTGCAAGTGTATATCAAAAACGTAAATTTTTTAGAAAGGCATGAAGAAGCACAAAAAGAAAGTGACAAATACTAAAGACAGCAGAGAAGACCCAATAGGTGTCACTTCCACAAGAAGCTGCAAGAAAAATACAACTGGAAATCCTGCAAGGACAGATGAACGTGTGCCTAGGAATACAGATGCAGAATGACAAACACCAAGGCCAAGTGACATTCTGTCAGTGCCATTGGATCCTATTGAGAAAGGATGGCAGAGCTTTGTTTCTATCTGTTGCAGAATATATTTTTTTTTTTTGGTAAACCAGGGAAGGAGGTGTTGCTGAGCAGGGGAAGCAGTATGGAAATGCCCCCTTGCTGCAGAGGGCAGGAATCCTCCTGGGGCAATCCTGCAGGAGGTGAATGAGTGGCCTCTGAGGAGGCAGAAGAGGGAAACTGAGGTCCAAGCCCATGTGTAGGTGTAGAATGCTCACCCATGTAGGGCTTGGTGCCGGCCATGGAGGAAGCCTTCTCTGCTCCTTTCACGACTGTGGCAATGTTGAAGTCCGTGATGTGCACATGCCCTACAGAGAGAAAATAAAGTTAGCCAGTGCTGTGGATGTCCATGCTCTCCCACTGTGTGACCAGAGGCTTAGTCTGTGGTCTGCATGATAGGCGAAGGGAGTTGACACCAGGACTTGGGTCCATTCTTAAGTGGTATCTGTTTCTCATAAAGTCTATTTCTGCATTCAGATTTTAGAGTGAGGGTTCATCTGTCAGTGCGCAAATTATTTGTGTGATCATGCTTGTGTTGAGGGGTAGATGACACCTGGGTGGATGGATATAAAGTTAAGACATGCTGCTATGGAGATGGAAGGTCAGTCTGGGTGTCACTCGGGACATCTGGGAGGGACTGTGGTGGGGAGGGCTGTGTTAACTGTGTTCTCTGGGCTTTTAGCATTGAACTTGATGGAGCAGAGGTGGAAGGGGATAGCCTTTGATCCTACCTAAAGCTGTGGCAACTGATGGGATTTGAAAAGACTGGGGATCCTATGATATAGATGTCTAAGAAATGAGAGAGGGAAGAGATAACGAGAAAAGGGGAGGAAACAGGGATGTTGGATGCAGGTCAAGGTAATGGGGAAGGAAGGGGAAAGGCAGAGAATCCTGTGGGCTCAGAACTTGTTCTCTGGGGCATTTGGCATGTGAAGAAACTAGCTGTAAGGGACTGATAGAAAATCTGAGCATAATTCCATTTCTCTCAGTCACCACACCAGTGAAATGGCTCTTTTTGCTGTTTGGAATGAGGCACTTGCACACAGATAAAGGCACAAGTAGAGTTGGCTTGGTAAGCACGTGAAGGTCAGCTGCTGGAGCAGGTGGGAGGAAGCCCAGGGGACAGTGTATGTGAGAGGCATGCCCAATGTGGTCAGCCACAGTGGACAGAAAAAGGAACAGTAGCCTCAGGCACCAACACAGGACTGATGCCACAGAGCTGCTGTGGGCTGTATCACAAGCACTCCAGGCCCCTGGGTCCATGCCCATTCTGTGAGAAACTACTTATCGGATTCTCCAGGATGTGGTTGGTTTCACCAGGTCAGTCCTAGCTGGGATGACTTGTGTTTGTGTTTCATTGTCATCATGTCCCCCAGCCAAGATCAGGCAATGGTGCCCCTCATTCCTAACACCAACAGGCAGGCAAGTTCACTTTCCTGAGTGTTCTGGGGGGTGTCTGCATGAGGGTGGGGCATCAGCCTTTGCTGTGTTCCACACCTGAGCAACTCCATGTCTGCCATACCTGCAACCACAGAGGGGTTCTGGAGCCTTTGGATGCAGCTTTTATTCAGCTTTCTTCCATTTCTCCTGCTCTTTAAAACTTTAGTATTTAAATTCTGAATGTAATACCAGCTAATTAGAATAATAAGTCAAAGAACATAGGATGTCTGTGGGTTCCCTGTGTGTACGTGTGTGTGTGTGTGTGTGTGTGTGTGTGTGTGTGTGTGCTGTTTTGGATTTGTTTGTGCTCATGTATGTGAGGTGTTGCACATACACATGCATGCATATGTATCTAGAAGCCAGAGTTCAACATTGGGTTGTCTTCCTGTATTTCTCTCACCTTATTCATAGACACAGTCTCTTGATCCTGGCTAGACTGGCTTGCCAGCAGGCTCCCACCTCACCCCCATCTCTGCCTTCCCAGCACTGGGATGACAGATGTACTCCAGGAAACCAATGTTTCATGAAGTTCTGGGGATCCAAATTCACCTTACTCCTGGATTTCCCTTTACAAGCTGCCCTGTTTCTCCACCATCTAAATGGCTAGGTTCTCCACTAGTTATTCATTTGCTTATGTAAATACATATTCACATTACCTGGGACTTTAGTGTGTTCTTATAACAATGAAGTTATTGCCATGGCTCATCCCCAAAGTGAATTTTAGACTTATTCTTGTTCAACAGGCATTTTTCCAAATTAAAACACACAGGTCTACTTAGGATGCCCACAATCCCTTATCCTCAGTGTTAGTCTGTCCTTTGTTGCTGTAACCACATATCTGAGGCTAGGTGACTTAATAAACTCATAGCTTTGAAGGTTGGAAACCCAAGTCCGGGCAGAACCTTCTCTTGTCCTCTAGGAGAAAGGCAAGTGGCTGGGGCTGGGGCCAATCATTCAATACACCCTATCCCCATCTGGGAATCAAGCCTATAATCCATTTGGGCTTAACAGAAATTTGGAATAGGGTTTCAAAAACGAAGTACTTCCTTTTCAGGAGTTACCATTGATGACATTCTCTGCCTTTCTCCTGTGTCGAATAGGGAGCCTAAGACTGCAGAAGATGTCTGCCAGTGCCAGTATGATGTCAAAATTGAACATGGGAAAGGCAGACAAATGTGCCCAAAGCCTGATCCAACTCCTTCATACAACACGCATTAGAAGCTAAACAAGACAACCCCAAACCAAACCAAACTACACTACCTTTCACTGCTCTGTAACTGAGGGAGTCAGGCTCTGTGTCACAGGTGAGGGCTGCTGTCCCAGTTGATGCAGCCACTGACTCTGGCTTGGACAGATTGTATGCTTTCCATAGGCTTATGTTCCTTATCTGTGGGGCTGAGATAGCATTAAGCTTTGGTTGGGGTGATGTGTTAGTTGTTTCTATTCTCCTGTGATAAAATACCATGACCTAGAAACTCAAGGAAAAGTGGTTTTGCCTTGCAGTTCCAGAGGGCTAGAGTCCACAGCATGGCTGCAGGAGAAGGAAGCTGGCTGATCACATCCCCATTGCACAGAGGAAGCAGAGACAGAGAGAGAGAGAGAGAGAGAGAGAGAGAGAGAGAGACATTCATATAAGTACAACCTGCTGAATAAGACTGTAAACCCTCAAAGCCCACCCCCAATGATCTTACTTCTTCCAGCAAGCCCATGTTTTCTAAAGTGATCCTCACTTCCTCAAACAGCACCACTAATGGGGGCCAAGTGTGCAGGTCTATGAAATTATGGGGACATTTTTCCTTCAAATACAGTGTGATGGCTAAGACTAATTACCAACCTGGCAGGGTCTAGAATCATCCAGGAGACAAGTTCCTGGACACATCTGTGGGGGGGGTTACCTAGATTAGTTAACTGAGGTGGAAGGACCCACCCTAAATGTGGACAATACCATCCCAGGGACTGGGGTCCTGGTAGAAAAAGAGAGACAAGGTGAGGGGAGCAGTGGCATTCACCTCTCTCTGTTTCTTGCCTGTGGGTACCATGTGACCAGCTGCCTCACACTCCTGCCACCTTGACCTCCCTACCATGATGGACTGTATACCTCAAACTGGGAGCCAAAAGTGAATCCATCTTTTCTTAAGTTGCTTTTGCCAGGTATTTTGTGACAGAGACAATAAGAGCAAGCAATATGGATAGTTAAACACTTAAACCGAGGATGTGGTATAGCCTGAAGTTGGGGGCAGGCTGTTAGACCTCTGAAGTAAGAGTGCTGTTGGGAGAAGGAGCCACAAGGGACCAGCAAGGATACCAGAAGGTAAAAGGGAGTGTTAAAATTGTAAGGATCAAAATGGAGGTTCCTCTGCCAAACCCAGATAAAGTAGAGCTGAGCACGTCCTCGTGCATATTGGCTTGATAAACAAGAGCCTTGATAATAATTCTGCCAAAACAAGATTGTCATTTAGGTCCCTCTTACGAGGACATCTTTGTAGCAAAATCCAGGGATAACCACAACCTCAGATGCAGCCTTCTTAAGACACAACTTTGTATCAGAGAAGCTTCCAAAAGGATATTCCCTAGCCGTAGCCAATGCACAACTCCCTGCCTGATAGAAACCTCTGGAGTCACCAAACTTGTCCTAGAACAACTTGGGTGTACCCTTCCTCCCACCTTGTAGATGTTTCTTTCCCCTTGCCTCTGTCTCCCTAGCCTCTGTCTCCCTAGCTGTATCTACAGCCCACCATAACATATGTGTTGTGTTCGGGTTCACAACCATTAGCTCATTTTCTTTAAAGTTTTCGTTTATGTTAATGAGAGGAGAAAAATCTTGGGAGAAGGCAGGGCAGGGGTAGGCTGTGTTGGACCCTCAGGACTGTAGGGACATTGACTCTTAATCTTTCTGAGAAGGTTTTGACATAACCTGACTGGATTTTGAATGTTATGCTGTGAGTGGATTATGTGGACAAGAAAAAAAGCAAGGAAAGTGGGAAACAGTTAAAAATGCAATCCCATTTCAATGTAAGCTACCCAGGGCTACACAGCTGCTGAAGAAACCTCAGAGCACATGCTGTCCCTCAAGTCTCCTGGGAAGATGGTATGATATCCCTGTGTTTTAATTTAAAATATTTATGATCATCATCACTGGGTATGTATGAGGTATGTGTGGGCATGCATGCCACAATGCACTTGTAGAGGCCAGAGGGCAGTTATGTGGAGTCGGTTATTTCCTTCCACCTTTACATGGGCTCCTGGATCACACACAAGCCATAGGCTTGCAAGTAAGCATCTTTACCAATGAAATGTCTAGAGGTCCCACAGCATAGCAGATGCATGTATAAGTGGAATGGAGCTCTGCACCATGTTATTCTCCCACCACCACCTCAGAACCCAGTCAGCTGGACCTGATTTACTTCTTTCTGGAACGTGGTTGGAGGACTTGGGAAAGCCTGGAGACAGATGTCTGGTAGCCTGTGCACAGTGGGCAATGCACAGTAGACTTCCACTGCTGCTATCCCAGTGTGCTAATCGATGATTCATGACTTCCTATTGTGCATCCTCTGATGGTTGAGTTTAGATGTTAAAATTAGTGTTAAGCAAGCTTTCCTAGGAGACACTGTATAGTACAGTGCACAGATGAACTGAGCGTCAGGCAATTTGCTGCCATAGCTGAAAACGCCTAGAACTTAAGACCAGGGTATTGTGAGAGACCCATTAGTATGGCCCTAATGAGGGTATTATCAGCCAGTGATCAATCCATAAAGCCTTATTTGTACATACTAAACTCTGATGTACTTTACTCTCTTCTCTGACAGTAAGGTGAGCTTTCTCACTGCCTAGTTTTTGACACCATGTAGAAGGAGTTGCCCATCCTCTG